TAGATCATAAATTATATAACACAAATTGTCAATCATTAGCTAAATACCACATAACATATAATATGTTCACTCTATACATTTACTTCTAAAATATATAAAGCTAAATATTTTTAATTCGTTATACTCACATCAACGCCATGTTCCGCATAGAAGTCGCCAGTACCCATGGAAGCATATAATTTGTAGCCCATTTTCGCCAGGTCTCTGCTGAGGACAACAGTCCATTTTGTGCTGAAAGTAAGTAAAATTAAGGTATATTATATCTCTCCAATAATACATTATCAAGAACATACCTTAAAACTACCTATGAGAGTAGAATGGCTTCTTCGGTATCTGGAAACCGGTAGACATCATAGCCTTCAAGTAGGCCTCTAGCGATTGTCACCAAAGCAAGCCACTTCACCGGTGGAAGCCATTTCCACACCTAACTGTACGTCGGCACCGGCCAAACGTGAAAAATGAATTGTGGCACTTTCACACCAACTTTGCCCACGCCATGCAACACCTCCACCGGTTCCATTTCTATGCCAATAATGGCACGTGTTGCTGTTGCCAACAAATCATGATCCAATGTCTTCGATACGAAGGGGAATGAACGTGAGACACGCACTTACACTCAATAACTTTGAGCTCATTATTTTGCAATTAGTTGCATATTGAATGGACCCGTGACATCGAGCAGTGCAGCCAAATCGCGTGTAATACGCTTAATTGTTTCCAAAGTTTCCTGATTTAAATCTTGTGGTGGTGTTACCAAAGTGGCGTCGCCCGAATGCACTCCAGCATTCTCCACATGCTCCGAAACGGCCATGCACAAAATCTCACCGTCCGCCGCCACGGCGTCCACATCGATCTCCTTTGCTTCTGTCAAGAATTTAGATATAACTACTGGATGCTCTTTGCTCACGAGTGACGCAGCGTTTAAGTAGGTCTCCAGATCTTGATTGGAATACGCCACATTCATTGCGGCACCGGAGAGCACATAAGAGGGCCGTACGAGACATGGATAGCCGACTTCTTCACAAAATTCAATGGCGCTCTTCAAGTTCGTCAGCTCCTTCCAACGTGGTTGCAATATGCCTTTGCGATCCAACATACGTGAAAACTTGAAGCGATTCTCAGCGCTATCGATGGACTCCGGTGATGTGCCGAGCACTTTGGCCTGTTGGCGATGTAGATCCATGGCAATGTTATTTGGCAATTGACCACCCATCGAAAGTATAATTCCATCAGATTTTCTATTTCGTAAACATCCATTACAACTTCAAAAGAAATCTCCTCAAATAGAGACGATCGCACATGTCATAATCGGTGATACAGTTTCCGGATTTATAGTTTATCATAATTGTGGGTTTGCCGAGATTACGCAATTCACGCAAACAACCAACGGCACACCAATCAAATTCCACCGATGAGCCGATACGGTAGACGCCCGAGCCAACCACAATCGTAAAACTGCCTGGGAACTCTAAATCGTGTTCATTAGCATTATAAGTGAGGTATAGATAATTGGTAGCTGCAGGCCATTCCCAGCCACGGTATCGATTTGCTTAACAAAGGTTTAATGCCCAGCTCTTGACGCTGTTTACGTACCGCTATTCCGTGCTCTTAATACCTCAGCGATTTGTTTATCAGAAAACCGATCTGCTTTGCTTGCATTATTTGTGCGCTCGATAGTGTATTACCGGTCTCTTCTAAAGTATTATGAAACTCTATAATGTGTTCATCTTATTTAAGAACCATCTATCAATCTTGGTGAGCTGATGTAACTCCTCAACACCATAGTTAGCCTTTAGCGCCGCTGCAAGCACAAATGGACGCTTGTCTGTCGGCTCAGTTAGTTCCTCCTTACACAATGGATGCTGATCGGGATCAAACCCGTTTCGGCGCCATCTACCATGCGTAATGCTTTCTGGAAGGCCTCCTCAAAGTTGCGTCCAATAGCCATCACCTCGCCTACACTTTTCATTGAGCTACCATATTTCTTGCTAACGCGTATGAATTTAGCCAACTCCATCTGGGTATCTTGACCACACAATAATCCAAACTAGGCTCAACACGCCGTGGTAACACCAGTTACGGAATTCTAATCGATGGTGTGAAACTCAGCGCTAACTTCGCAGCAACATATGCCAACGGATAGCCCGTGGCCTTCTAGCCAAGCGGAGCTGCGTGAAAGACGCGCATTCACCTCGATTTGTATATTCCTCAGAGTGTGGATTGAGCGCATACTGTATGTTGCACTCGCCGACCACACCGAAGTGACGTTACTTCAACGCAGTGCTGCGCAGCATGTTGTACTCTTGTTGGAGAGTGTCTGCGATGGTGCTACCACAATACTCTCCCAGTATGTATACCCAAAGGATCGAGATTTTCCATATACAAACGTTATGCAGTTATCGTAGGCGTCACGTACAACCTCGTACTCTACCTCTTTCCAACCTTTAAGCGATTTGTCAATAATCAGCTGACTTGAATAAGCCAATGCCTGGTGTGCGAGTGTCTCCAGTTCGCGTTCATTGTCTGCGAAACCGGAACCTAAACCACCCAATGAGAATGCCGCACGTGCCATCACTGGATAACCCAATCGCTTAGCGGCCTCCAATGCTTCTTTACTGAGTAAACAGCTTCTGAAGGTGCCACAA